CAAACTAATACACTATCAGAGTTTTATATATTTATACTTCTCATTGAACCACAGTTAAATTCACTCTATCTAGGAGGCTCAGTTTATATGGATAGTTTTTATTRTTTACAACAACAAGCTGCAATGAAAACAAGCTGCAATGAAATAAAAGTAACAACTTTATACTTCTTGACTTTTTAAAAATGTAAGAAGAAGTAAAAAGTAGGCTGAAAAATAATTACTCGAGTAAAGTACAGATACACAAAAATTCTACTTAAGTACAGTAACAAAGTATTTGTACTTAGTTACTTTAACGTCTGCTGATGAATGAATGAATGAATGAATGAATGAATGAATGAATGAATGAATGAATGAATGAATGAATGAATGAATGATACTTTATTGATCCCACCAACAGGTGCCCACAGACCCTGCACAGAACAAGGATCATCATGAAAGAAGTAACAGAAATGTATTTTGTGGTGAACACCAGGGGGCGCCCTCTGCATGGGACATGTGTTGGTTTTACAGGACTGCCACCAAAAAAAAAAAAAAAGAAAAAAAAAAGACTTGATTCAGGTTTTTGTAACACTGGAGAAACCCACTCGTGGACCAGCTGTGGAGACATCATGATGCTTCATCTTATAAACTATCAAGTGTTTAAATGTGAAATCTGTGTCACAGGATGAACTTTGACCTGAATGTTTTCAGCTCACGCGACGGTTCATCCTTATCTGAGCTCGATTTGTTTGTCTGGTGACGAAACAGCTGAACTTTGGGTTTGCCCCCCCGCATCTCCTCTTCACCCCCTCCAATGTGAAGCGGCTTCAGACGAAATTATGCAACAACAGTGACCCGCCCCGCCCCCCTGCCGTGCTCTGATTGGCTGCCCTGCGTTCCAGAGCAGGGCGTGGCCAGAATCGTGCTGTACGTGCTGCACGGTCTGCGTCCCCCCAGCGGGAGGGGGTGGGGGGGTAAAAGGGGGCGTGTCGTTTGTTTTCATTCATAAATCCATAAGGAGAGCGTGTCCTCCGACATGTGAAAATCCCTCCGTCTCCTCTGCGGAGTCACATGTGTCTCTGCTCGTGTCTCTCTGCCTCCTGGCAAAGGCTGGAGCATAAAATTTAATCTTTATAAGGGATTTATTTTTACTTTTCTTATTATGATACACATTTGGCAGCTATTAAGATTTAATTTACTGACTTACTACTACAATGGCTAACATATTTTCTAAAACGTTGACAATATCTGTTTGAGTCAACGGTGTTAGCAAAATATCTCATAAACTGACAAAACAGAGATGTCCAATTCTGGTCCTCAAAGACATGTTTGACCAGTTTCCCTGCTCCATCTGCTTCAGGGACTGAATTACCTCTTCAAGTTCACCTGTTTATTCAAATCCGGTGTGTTGACTCAGAGAAACCTCTACAACACAGGTGTTGAACTCCTGTGCTCAAGGGCCAGAGTCCTGCATGTTTTCTTGTTTTCCTGCTCAAACACACCTGATTTGCATGAATGGATGATTAACAGGCTTCTACAGAATTTAAGGAGTTAACTGAAGCACTGAATCAGGTGTGCTGAAGCAAAGAAACAAGGAAAACATGCAGGATAGTTGCCTTCGAGGACCTGAGTTTGACACCCCATGCGCTACAACATGTAGAACAGTGGTCCTCAGGGATTGAACTCCCTTGATCCCCTGAGGGAAATGGTCCTGAAGGACCAGGACTGGACAACCCTGTCCTAAAACATATGGTACAATAAAACATGGGTTTCTGGGACCAATTCCATTTCAGTTCAGTTTATTTATATAGCACCAAGTCACAACAACTGTTGTCTCAGGGCACTGTACACAGGATTGGACGCACCTGGTCTGGACTAGACATGCAGGATAGTGGCTCTGGAAGACCAGGATTGGACACCCTTGCTCTAATATACAGGACAGTAGTCCTCAAGGACCCGGATGGGACAACCTCTCCCTAAAACATATGGTGCAATGACTATGGAGAACCATGATTGAAGACCACTGATCTAAAACATGGGTCTCTGAGACCAGGATTGAACACTTCTGGGCTGGACTAGACACGCAGGATAGTGGCTCTGGGGGACTAGGATTTTACACCCTTGCTCTAATACATGAAAGACAGTAGTCCTCAAGAACCAGAATTGGACAACCCTGCCCTAAAACATATGGTACGATGACTATAGAGAACCATGATTGAGGACCACTGACCTAAAACATGGGTCTCTGGGACCAGGATTGGACACTTCAGGTCTGGACTAGACATGAAGGACAGTGGCTCTGGAAGACCAGGATTGGACACCCTTGCTCTAATACATGAAAGACAGTAGTCCTCAAGGACCAGGACTGGACAACCCTGCTCTAAAACATATGGTATGATGACTATGGAGAACCATGATTGAAGACCACTGATCTAAAACATGGGTCTCTGAGACCAGGATTGGACACTCCTGGTCTGGACTAGACATGCAGGATAGTGGCTCTGGAGTACCAGGATTGGACACCCTTGCTTTAAAACATCTAAGACAGTAGTCCTCAAGGACCAGGATTCAACACCCCTGGACAGATGTAACTTTGTGCACGCACCTTGGTTTCGATGAAGAGTCCAGATCAACTAATTTGCAACTAGTTTAACAAGATCTGCTTAGATCCACTTTGTTGACAACAGCATTAGTCTTACCAGGACCAGGTTTAATGGATTCTCAGTCATGTCAACATGAGACTGGGAAAAGGAAGGAGAGGGGAGGAAAAAACAACAAAAACCCGTGGGGGGATGGGAATCAGTTGGAAGGGAGATGGAAGGATGAAAATGGTTTTCAACACTCAAGGAGGTTCAGCAGGTTCACATGTTGTGGAGGAATTTAAGGGTGGGGGGGTTAAAGCTTTTCGAAACCAGTGGCTGCTCTATACATACAAACATAGACTAGTTTCTCTTATTGCCAAACATTAACCTTTATTGTGTTTTGACAGCTAAAGAGGGTGGGTTGTGTGTGTGTGTGTGTGGTTAATTTTTTTTCAGAGAAAATGTATTGTAAAGCAACCCAAGGACGCGCCCTGCTGTGTATACATTGAAGGAAGAGGGGGGTTGGGAGTTCATGTGTATGTTGTATGTAAAGAGGGGGATGGGCAGCCTCCTCATCCCTGAAGACAATTTACGTAGAAAAATAAATACACAGGAAATAAAAACAGCAGTTCCCTTCTTGTTTTCCATTCAAACTGTATGTATGGAGAAAGAAAATAGACATATATTAGAGTATAGATGACCTTTTTTTGGGTGTGTAAACAGTATTGATAGTATCTATGCTGCAGAGCTGGTTTCTATAGGTGGTCTCTGAGTTCACCCTGAAGAGAGCCAGAGGCCAGGAGGGGGGGTGGCCATAGTCTCCCTTTAATGAACCAAGAAAACTGACTGGACTGGGCAACATTTTGACACATTG